TAGAGTGAACTTGGACCAAAGAGGGAAAGGAGACCCAAGGGTGCTGACCAATAAATTCAACCCCTTTCCTCCCTCCTGTGGGTCATTGGTGTGGTATGCCCTGCCAGAGATGTCCCATGCCACCAAGAAGCCATCTGTGTTTAATCGTGAGGCTATGTCCAATTTGTTAACAAGTATTCCCTTGTTTGTCCTTCTGTCTCATTTTTCCAACCCCACCATTGCACTTTCCAAAGAAGTATTAGCAGATAAGCTTTGCCATAGACTGTCTTCTAGGGAATCCAGCCACAGAGACCCACTGACCTCAGAATAACACTCAGGACCCATTAATGTGACTGGTTTGTTTCTGAGTTGGCCTAAGCAGGTATATCACTGCCTATCCCCACACCTTCTAAAACCCCAGAGGTCAGCCCTTGTTTCTGCCTTGAAGGAGAACAGTTTCAGACCTATAGATCTATGGAAAATATTTATTCAAAAGGGAGCCATCACAGTACTACTAACAAGAGGAACTAAAAAAGACGGAAACAATCTAAGCCTCAAAACAATGGAGCATTTTTTAAAATAAATGATATGTTCTATAATAAAGTCTAGATACATATTAACAATGTTATAGACAAATTTATTGGCATAAACTTATTAATAATGTGTCAATTGAAAAAATAAAACTAAGTACAGCGTGATCTCACTTTTGCAAGAAATACCTATGTGTTCCCCAGTGTGACATTTGAGCAATATGTTGAAGGATGTGTGAGAATTAGTGTATATATATATATATATATATATATATATATATATATATATCTTTGTATAGAAAAATGGGAGGAGGTTGCACACCAAATGCAAACAGAGGTTGTCATTTGGTGATAGGGTTATGAGTGAGTTCTCCTTTATTCTTTTTTTTATTATTGATTTTTTTTTAAGAGAGAGAGAAACATTGATGTAAGTAACATATATCAGCTGCCTCCCTCACACACCCTGACCAGGGATTGAATCCATAATTCTTTATACTTATTAGTGTTTAACTTTTTTCTTCTATAAAATATATATTAATTGTGATTTTTTTTAATTTAAAAGGTAAAAGTGTCCTGGACCTGGTACTCACAAATGCTCTTTCTGGTAGCAACATGCTGTCACTCCCCAGGGAGACTCTGGAAGACTAAGGATAACAGAAACTTTTATAGGCTTTTATTTGAGGTGAGAATTATTAATAATTATAAATCATTATATTTGTTGAAGGACAAACTAACAAGAAAGAGTTTATAGCATTGCTGTTGTAACTAACTTCTGTGAAGCAGCTCATCCAGCATGCCCATATATTCCATTACTTTATTGTAGTTAGTAATTGTACTATTCCGAAAACAAATATGTTGCCCCTTGAATACTCTTTTTGATATGCTTTCCAGTTCTTGAGAATTTTTCAGAATAAATCATTGCATTGAATTTTTAAGAATAAATCATTACACAGGATGAGGCAAATGGTGGGTAGTTCACTTATTCAACATACACTAAGCTTTGTCCATTTTTCAGAAACTAAGCTGGGTCCTGGGGAGTCAGAAGTTGAAGACATCAACTCCTCCTTCAGTGAGGACCAGAGAACTGATGTCTGCAGTTGACTCTAGTGGACACTCTAAGCCCAGGGTTCTTCTGGGCCACGAGGGCATCAGGACAGTTTGAGGGACATGAGTGGTCAGGAGATGCCTCCCCAGAGTAAGCGGCATTTGAGCTGTATGTTGAAGAAGGTGTGGGAATTGGCCACAGGAAATGAGAAGGGCACTCCCAGCAGAGGCCAGGAGATGGAGAAGAAAGCAGATCCAGGGGTTAGAAAAAGATAAATCTGTGGATCCGTGCTGCCCAGAACTATCTGCAATGATGAAAAAGTGCTGTCCAAAACAGTGGCTATTGAACAATCAAGAAACTGAAATCTTAATTTTATTTCATTTTTTAAGTTTCAATTTAAATAGACACATCTGACCACCAGCTACTGTAGTTTTTTTAGACCACATATGATTAACATACAAAAAGCTGTATAAAACTGATCTACTCAACTTGATAAGTTTGGAGATAAGTATATTACCTGTGAAACAATCAACACATCTATGCCATAAACATCTCTATCAAAAGTTTCCTCCTGCTCTCTTTACTTATTATTATTTTGTGTGTGATAAGATCACCTGTGGCTACTGTTTTGAACAGCACAGCTCTAGATGGGATCACTACTCTAGACGTTTTTCACTAGTGAGTTTCATTTTCATTTTAAAGGTAAAAAGAAGTCTGTGCAAAATTTCAAAACAGAGTAATTACATGAGTAGACTTAAAAGAAATATTACTGGCAAATTTGGAAGCAAAGTAATCTGGGCAGTTTTTAACATATGTTCACTTTCTGAGACCTTCTTAGAGAAGATGACGAAAAAGGAAGCATATAAAACAAACATGGCCATAAAAATCCCTTTGAAAATGATTTGATAGAGGAAATGACCAATTAGCTAACTACAGACCAATAAGTAAAAGGTAACTATCACAGTAGGAAATTGTAGTTGGCTTTAATGAACCATTCCCTAGAGCCACATACAAATGGCCAATTAAACACATAAAACAGTGTTCAACTTCACTAATATTCAAAGAAGTTTCAATGAAAATGAGTTTCCTACTTTTCAGCTGCATGGTTAGTTTTACTTTCAAGACAGTATATTGTTGAGGATATAGATAAAGTCACTCTCTTGAGTGTCTTTGGGAAAGTACATTGATACATCTTTTTTGGAGGCCAATTTGGCAATATTTTAGCAAAAGACTTAAAAATGTCTAAATCCTGTCAGCCAGCTATTCCATTTCTGGGAATTTGCCACAAAGGAGTAATTGGGGATTCTTGTACAAGGTATTCATGTCTCTATTACATACAACATAGTTAAGAAAAAAAAAGAGGAGAGGAAGAAACTTCTTCTACCCTTCTAGGTGCTTTCGTCTGGTCTAATAATTAAATCTGCAAGAGACAGAGTAACAAGAGAAAAATAACCAAATGTAATCACATATGTAGGTACAGGAAACCCCATATACATGAGAGATTCAGAGATCCCACATACATGAGAGGTTCGGAGCCAGAAAGGTTAAATGAGGTGTACATGACATCTTGAGCTAAGGAATGAGTTAAGGCAACTGTGGCTTCAGAGGGAAGGAGGGTAAGAAGAGCAGATGTTCAGTAATTAGGTGTTTGCCCTGCCATAAGTTATAAACAAAAATTGTCTCTGGTAAGAACTCTTATCCTGGGCAAGGCCCCTAATTTAAACTCTTCTAGGTAGCTGGTGGGGTGGAGGCAGAAGCTTCTCTTGAGCCCACACCCACATACCAAAGTGGCACATCTTGGGGAGGCCTGTTCCGAACCCCTTCCAATGACAGCAACCTAACTGTGGTTCCCAATAGATTTATTAAGTAAATTATGATACATCTATACAAATACCCAGCCATTAAATGTCATTATGCATGTGATTACTTCACTGCATAAGGGAAATAAATGTGTGTGATATATGTATATTTTAGTGGCAAAAAAATCAAATCGCTACTAGAATCTTTCAGTGGAATAGTAAAAAAAATGGAGGAATAGAAAAAATAAAATACTTGAGGGATATTCACCAAAATGTTAATGGTGGTTATCATTTAGTACTGTGATTTTCTTCTTTATGTTTCTCTGTATTGTATAATTTTTCACAATGAAGATCTATGACATTTAAAAGAGAAAAGCATCTTTTTAAGTTGAAGTTGTTAATTATGTCGGTAGTGTTTAACTGTAACAGCAGTGATTGGAAGTATATAGAAGTACATAATTGCCACACTTCTGCTACATGACATACAATAATGAAAGTGGTGGCAGGCATAATCTAGGTTGCGGACAGTAGAGCTTTTAAAGAGGCTAAGTGTCCTTGTAGTTCTTTCCAGAAACTCTTCCCTGCTGTTGGTAGCAGCAGAAGTGCTTTCAGGAATCTAGATAAAGTGTTTTCAACCACAGGTAATTATGTATATGAAGAGGACCTTGCAGCCAGATATGTAGATGGTTTATAAAAGCAGGAGGAAGTTTCCCTTTGTTAGGTTCTTCCTAATATTTTAACTCAGATGTATCTGACAAAGAAGAGAGTAGAATGGCAAAGAGAGCTTTAACAAGAGACCAAATAATCAGAAACTTCAGCTAATCAGAAATTCTGCCTTTGATTCTTAGGAAACAATTGGAAATTTCAAGGAAGTGACTGAATTAAGTGCCGGAAGCCGGTCCATCCTTGCTGCTTGACACAGTCACTGCAGGGAAGAAACATCTGCACAGTTTATGTTTCAAGGGACCTGGCGTATATGGCATACTGTTCTTAATATGTTTGCTCCCCTTCTTAAGCACTATGTGTTTTAACCAAGGTCACCTCTCTGAGAAAGGTTGTTTCCCCAGGTGGGGATTTTTATCAGTAAAACCCCTTAACTAAGTACCAGGCGGATAGTTAATCACTTTAACTATGAACAAACATGCTTAAACTACATAATCTTTACTCCCTGGAATGGAGATAAGAAACGCCCTAACCTTTGGAATAGAATGGATAGGATTAAAATCAACTGGTATAAAAACAGATGTAACAGGAGAAATAAAGACAGAACCTGGCTGGAGAACCTAGCGAGAGAACATGGCTACAGAACTTGCCTGGAGAACCTGGAGAGAGAACCTGGCTATGATGATCAACTGAACGCTGCCTCTGTGTCTTTCATTCTTCGCCGACTCTGTCCACACCTTTGGGAACCCCTGGATCTGCTGGGGTTGGACCCCAACAATTAGCAACATCTCTATGCCCAAAGGAAGGAAGTAGATCCTCACCCTCAGGGGACTGCTGCAGGAGCCAGGGTAGAATTGGGAGAGCTTCAGGAACAAAGAGGGTGACCGAGCTGCTGACAAGAAGTAAAGAAGCTCTGCTTCCACCACCCCCGTGAGGACCCAGGACCCGCCCTGCCTACCGGGGAAACCAGCCTTCCCCGGCATGATGGACGAGGAGAGCCTCCAGACCGCACTCCGGACCTACGGCGCCCAGCTGCAGCAGGTGGAGCTGGCCCTGGGTGCCGGCCTGGGTCCCGCCGAGCTGGCCGACCTGCGCCAGCTCCAGGGAGACCTGAAGGAGCTGATCCAGCTCACCGAGGCCAGCCTGGTGTCTATCCTGAAGAGCAAGCTGCTGGCCACCCTGGACGGAGAGCGCCCAGAGCAGGACGACGCCGAGTACCTGGCTTTCCAGAAGGCTGTTGCTGAAGTAGTGGAGGCGCCAGTAGCCCCCAGGGCAGAACTGGACACTGTACCTGAAAGAGAGGCTGGGCCAGGACCCAGCCAGCCTGGACTGGAGGAGGATGAAGGGGAGGACACGGAGGATGTGGGAGAGCTGAGTGGGACGAAGGTGAACGCCCCCTACCGCAGTTCCTGGGGCACCCTGGAGTATCACAATGCCATGATCGTGGGCACGGAAGAGGCAGAGGACGGCTCCGCAGGTGTGCGGGTGCTCTACCTGTACCCCACCCACAAGTCCCTGAAGCCCTGTCCCTTCTTCCTGGAGGGCAAGTGCCACTTCCTGGACAACTGCAGGTTCTCCCACGGGCAGGTGGTCTCTGTGGATGAGCTGCGCCCCTTCCAGGACCCGGACCTGAGCTCCCTGCAGGCTGGTTCTGCATGTCTGGCCAAGCAACCAGATGGTCTCTGGTACCCAGCACGGATCACTGATATGGACAGCGGCTACTACACAGTCAAGTTTGACTCGCTGCTGTTGAAGGAGGCCGTTTTGGAGGGGGACAGCATCCTTCCCCCACTGCGCCCAGAGCCTGCAGTATCCTCTGACTCAGACAGTGGTGACCCGGACGATTCCAGCTATGCCAGAGTGGTGGAACCCAGCGCCACCGACCACGGGGCCTGCAGCTCTGCCTTTGCGGGCTGGGAGGTGCACACGCGGGGCATCGGCTCCAGGCTGCTCGCCAAGATGGGCTATGAGTTTGGCAAGGGTCTGGGCCGACACTCGGACGGCTGGGTGGAGCCCATCCAGGCTGTGGTGCTGCCTCGAGGGAAGTCGCTGGACCAGTGTGCAGAGATCCTACAGAAGAGGACCAAGGGCAGCAAGGCTGGCACTAGTCGGGCCCCAAAATACCGGGGCAGAGGAGGCAGGCCTGGGGGCCGCTCGCCCCCTCAGAGCGTGTTTGACTTTCTGAATGAGAAGCTGCAGGGCCAGGCTCCTGGGACCCTGGAGGCAGGGGCTGCTACCCTTGGGAGGAGGAGTGGCAAGGAGCTGTACCATGCCAGCAAGGGCACCAAGAGGGCCCTGAGCCTGCGGCTCTTCCAGACCCAGGAGAAGATTGAGCAGGCCCAGCGGGACATCCGGGGCATCCAGGAGGCCCTCGCCCGCAACACTGGCCGGCACAGCGTGACCGTGGCCCAGCTGCAGGAGAAGCTGGCAGGAGCCCAGCGGCAGCTGGGGCAGCTCCGAGCCCAGGAAGCGGGCCTGCAGTGGGAGCAGAGGAAGGCGAACACCCACAAGAAGATGACAGAGTTCTAGAGCCCAGCACGTGCCAGGGATAGGGCTCGGCTCCAGCTACCACAGCCTCTGGAAGACTTCCTGTCCTCCAATACCTAGATGCTGACAGAAGAGGGGCCACAACCCAAACCATACCCCATGGTCAGCCTGTTGTCAGGCTGGGGTGTGAGGACATTGCTGAGTGGAGATTGGGTACAAGGGTCACGTACATAAGGACACATATGTAATACCTTGATCAATAAATAAAGAAAAAAACAGATTAAAGTGTGTTCTATATACTCTACTTACCATGAAGAAGGAGTGAAGAATGGAGGAAGGGGGGAAAAAATGAATGAAGGGAGGGAGGGAGAGTGACTGTATCCAAAGACACACATCGGCATCAGAGATCTGGCTTCCCAGGGTCTGGCACATCTTTGTGCAGTCTGATCAAATGCCCAGTACAATAGTCCCCCCTTATCTCTGGGAGATACACTTCAAGACCCCCAGTGAACAGCTGAAACTGCAGGTAGTACCAAGCCCTACATATACTATGTTTTTTCCTTTACATATATCTTATGATGGAGTTTAATTTATAAATTAGGCACAGTAGCTCTGGCCAGTGTGGCTCAGTTGGATGAGTATTGTCCAATGCACAGAAAGGAAGGTTGCCAGTTCAATCCCTGGCCAGGCACATGCCCAGGTTGTGAGTTTGATACCCAGTCAGGGTGCGTGAAAGAGGCAATGGATGGATGTTTCTCTCTCATGTCGATGTGTTTCTCTCTCCCTCTCCTTCTCTCTTCCTCTCTCTCTAAAATTAATAAAAACATATTTTTAAATAGGTACAGTAAGAAATTAACAATTAATAATAAAATAGAAAATTATAACAATATACTGTAATAAGTGTAATGTGAACGTGGCCTCTCTCTCTCTCTCTCTCTCTCTCTCTCTCTCTCTCTGTAATAATTGACCTGATAACTGAGGTGGCTACTAAATGACTAACAGTAGGTGCACTGGATGATTTACAACCCAGGCCAGGACAGCACAAGATTTTATCATGCTACTCAGTACAGCATCCAGTTTAAAACCTATGAATTATTTATTTCTTGAATTTTTGCATTTAATATTTTCAGATTGAAGTTGAAGACAGGTAACTGAAACCACAGAAAGCGAACCCATGGATAAGGGGCGGGGGTGGGGGGGATTGTATCATGCTCTGTCTGGTATTGCCCTGGGGAGTGAGAGGCCTGCTACCGCAGGGCATCCCTCCTCTAGCTGCCTGGGATGCCACTGGACATCCCAAGGCATTCTCATTCCTCCTCCTCTCAGTCCCTTCCCCTATCCGAGCATCACAGCAGGAGACTGCTCCTGAATCTCCCCTCAATGCTCCTCCTCTTCTTCTTCTTCTTCTTCTTCTTCTTCTTCTTCTTCTTCTTCTTCTTCTTCTTCTTCATTGTTGTCATCATCGTCGTCGTCATCATCATCATCATCATTGTTGTCGTTGTGGTCGTCATGGTCATCATCATCATTATCATTGTTACTGTTAATCCTCACCCAGAGTTCTTTACCAGGGGTCTGGGCACAACTTAACTGATACTGTTATATGGAAAATAGATGTCTCCCCCAAACTTCGGTGACTCCTCATCTCTCGATCTGACTGTGGTGGTTTTCCCATACATCAGGGACCCCATCGCCTCACTTTTACACACTACCCCTCAAATGGACCAAGAAGGTCCTGTCCTCCCTGCATTTCTAATATGGGCTCTTTTCTGATCCTTTTTGAACTTAATATGTTTCTGAGATAATTGGCCCTTAACTTTGCAAAAAGGGGATATACTTAACTTTACATGGTAAATACAGTCTGGGAAAACTATTAGGAAATCAAATATCTGTTTAACATAAATAACTAGTGAGAGAGAGTAGGTAAGTGGAAAGATCGCAGGCTTTGGAATGAGTGAGAAGTGCTTTCCCTCCCACACTTGGGAACTGTGAGATCATGGCCTGGTTTCCTAACCTCTGTGAGCCTCCATTTCCTCATCCATCAAAGAGAAAATGAATTGGAGCTTCCTAGGGTGGTCAGGAGAATCAAATGACTTAATGCCTGTCAAGTGCTGGCAGGTAATAGGTAACAAGGCTTCCAAAAATTTAATTGTTTTTTCCCTCCCCCATTTCCTATCTGTGGCTATAAACAGATTCCCTGGAGAATTCAAATGTACAGTGTAGAATATTTATGTAAGTTCCATGAAAGCCGGAACTTGTCTGTATCCTCAAGGCCTAGTGCTCAGCACACAGATGTTTAATAAATATTTGTTGAATGAATGAATGAATGTGAATAATGTACTACTACCTTCTATTGTTTCTTTGACACTGGTTGATGACCTATGGCACTGTGTTTCCAAACAGTGCTCTCTCTGCCCTTGCCTGTGAAAACAACTGGTACCTGCTCTTGAATGAATTCCTTAGCCTAAGGGCGCTTCACCTAAAGTAAGTCCTATTTTTATTTTTTTTAAATATATTTTATTGATTCTTTACAGAGAGGAAGGGAGAGAGATAGAGAGCCAGAAACATCGATGAGAGAGAAACATCGATCAGTTGCCTCCTGCACATCTCCTACTGGGGATGTGCCCGCAACCCAGGTACATGCCCTCAACCGGAATCGAACCTGGGACCCTTCAGTCCGCAGGCTGATGCTCTATCCACCGAGCCAAACTGGTTTTGGCGTAAGTCCTATTTTTTAAAAAATATATTTTTATTGATTTCAGAGAGGAAGGGAGAGGGATAGAAACGTCAATGATGAGAGAGAATCATTGATTGGCTGCCTCCTGCATGCCCCCTACTGGGGATCGAGCCCACAACCTGGGCATGTGCCCTTGACTGGAATTGAACGTGGGACCCTTCAGTCCACAGGCTAACGCTCTATCCACTGAGCCAAACCAGCTAGGGCATGAAGTAAGTCCTATGAAGCAAGCTTGTTGCCTGATGGACTGCCCTGCTTCTGCACAGTGCCCTCTGTCTGTGCAGGGAGGCGGGCCACAGCTCTGTGCCGCTCTCACAGCCCAGGCCCTGGCCCAGCATCCCGGCAAAGTCATTCTGAAGGTGAGAAGAGCCCTGGCCTCAGAGCCAATTAAGTCATCAAGCACAGAGGACCTCAGGCCCATGCTACTTTTAGAGGCCCACAACAATGTTTTAATCTTAGTTTCTTTTATTTATTTATGGAGCAAAGGTCCCATGAAGGGGAAAAAAATGACCAGGGAGGGCACTTGAAAGTCACAGTGTGGTCCTGGGAGTCCCGAGCAGAAGAGCGCCACTAGCCATGCAGGCTGCAGGCCTGGGCGGGGCTGCTCCTTCCAGCTCCTTCCAGGAGAAAAGCAAGCTCTGCAGGGAGGAAGGCAAACCTCTGGAGGCAGAAGGGCTTCCTAACCTCCCTGGCCTCTTAGAAGGGCACATTCTAGTACAGTATACCTTCCTCCCGGGCCCAAAATGAGGGAACCGCAGCCAGCTCTCGCTCTGTCTTCTCCCAAAGAAGGCAAACCCAGTGTGACCTCATCCCCTGAATCACAAGTAGAGGGGGCTCATCAATGACTTCATTTCCTTTTCCCTCAAAAGTCGAGTCCAAGGGTGACCTCCCCTCAAATCTGGCAAGACTGGGCTTGATGTCACCGCCCTCTCCCTGCCAAGGCCTCTCTTCCGCCTGCCTGGCTGGTGACACATTTCCACCCAGACGGCTTCTCAGAAGCGGCTCTGCCTGTAGGTGTGGGAGTCTGGCTGGACGCTGCTTCCTCTTCGCCACAGGGCAAGCCCTCTAGCTGAAACGGCACTCCAGTCAGTGAGGGTGACAAAGGGTGACTCAGCCCCGAGGCGGACGTATTTATCCAAGGCCCCACAGTAAAGAAGGGGTTTTTAGGCAGGCCTGGAGGGCAGGATGCGCCAACTCAGGATGATAAACTAAAAAGCAAAAGGGGAAGCCCAGAGCTGAGGAATTCCTCGAAAAGAACGTACTACCTTGGCCGGGAGGCGAAGGCTGCTAGAGCTGGCAGGGCTGCCAGGCAGGGACGGCCTCACCCTGCAGCAGCTATGACCCTGCAAGCGCTCGCTCAGCAGCCCGGCCACCTATCTGCCTGGGTTTCCTGCGTGTCCTTTGGACCTTCTTTGCAGGCGCTGGGTCCACCATCTGTAAGAGGGAGGACGGCAGCCCCAGGTGTGCGTGGGGACTCAGCATCCAGTGAGCAATGCTATTTGCATCTGCAGCCCAGATTGAATGCATGAGGAGGAGAGGACAGGAAAGAAGTTAACTTTGTAAACAGGAAGTTGAAGGGGATGTAATAGTGGGGGAAGCTGTACATAGGAACATAAAACTGCTCTAAAAAGTCTATTTTTAAATTGAGATTTTTTTTTTAAGTCTGTCCTATGGCCACAAAACCCGCTTAGAATCATGAGGATGGTTCATTCTAGCTTAAGGGGGAGACCAGGTAAGCAGGCCGACTAACCGTCACAATTGTAGGAGCCACAGCAAGGTCACCTCTCCTTTTCCTCACGCCTTTGGCACAGCCCAGGGTGTCACGATTCCTTCACTGTGTACAATTGCTTCGAACGCTACAGCTAGGAAGAGAGAGCAAGTAGTTCTGGGAGAGACTGACTGTAGCATAGGAATAGGTAAGAGGTCTATTCTTGAGAAAAGGTGTTTATATTCTAAGCCTCAGTTTCTTCATCTGTTAAATTAGGATAACGATGTTACGTCTTACAGAGCTGTCATATAGATCCATTTTCAGTGAAATCTTTGCCATCCAGCGGATTAAAAAATAGCTACACCCTCTCTTCCTCACACCATATATCCTAGCATTTCCTCAGTTAATTTTTCTACAACACATTTATCATCATCTCCACATCATATATTTTACTTTTAAAATTTTCTTTATCTCCCTTTCGGATGTAAGTCCCATGAAGGCAGGGATTTTTTTGTCTACTTTATCCTAAATCCCCAACACCTGGACACTGTCCAATATAGAATCAGTCCTAAGTAACTATTTAATGGGTAAATAATTCATGTAAAGTGTTCA